GACCCAGACACATAAGAGGTGACATTAGGGCAGGGACTTGGGGGTGGCTTTCTCCCAGACAAGGGTGCTCGCAGGGGTCATTGTTCTTGTTCTGGGACCTCCTGTGTCACAGAACTGACTGGCAGTCATATATGAGTCTCCATCAGCCTGGAGCACACAGTTTGCTCCACCCTGGGAATTCCCTGAGACCCTGACCCATCCAATTTGCAGCCCCATCCAAGCTGTTTGTAGTGGCTTTTGCATATTAATGGTCTGGCCGTGCGCACACTTCAGACTTTGCTAAAATCTCTCAAACAAGCTGCAGCTGGTGACAGCATGCCCCAAATGTATCAATAAAAGGTCCAAGACCTGGCATTAGCACCAGCCTGCCTTGCTTCATAGCCAGGCCTCACCTGGGCACCTCCAAGCCCAATATAAATAGTAAATAGCAGCCATCTGCAGATCCCTCTGTAGCTCCTGACAGGTGGCCCCAGGCAGTGGCTGACTTTGCACCTCCCTGGAGACTCAAGAGCGAGTGCACCCAGTGGTCAATTTCAGACCACACCAGATTACAACTCTACACATCCACAAGTGACACACTCAAGGGCCAGACTCAGTGGGCACCAAAGTGCCACTGAAGCACGTCTTGCTCCATAGGGGTGTTCCCTGCCAAGTAGCTCTCCCACTGTAGTCACAGCTGGTCCTCACAGCCAATTGGCCTGGAGGTCAATTCCTCACAGTGACACCAACAATAATCAAGGCTCAACTACAACAAGACCGTGCACACAGCCCACAAAGGGGTGCACCTAGTGCCCACCTCAGGTGATTGTGGAGGCTGAGCCACTGGTCCCTATAGGACACCTACTACACAAGGCCACTCTACCAACTCAAGGAGACATAGCAGCTCTATCCAATATATAGAAACAAACACAGGGAAGCAGCCAAAATGCAGAGACAAAGAAACATGTCACAAATGAAAGAAATGGAAGAAAGCAAACTACTAGATATAGAGTTCAAAACCACAGTAATAAGGTTTCAAGGATCTTAATGAGAGCTTCAAGGGACTTAGTGAGACTTTCAAGGATCTTAGTGAGAATGCAAAAAAAAAAAAAAAAAAAAAGAAAGAAAAGAAAAGAAAGGAAAAGGACCAGTCAGAAATTAAGCATACACTGTCTGAAATAAAGAATAATTTACAGGGATTCAACAATAGAGTAGAGGATTCTGAGAATGAAACCAACAATTTGAAATATGAAGAAGCAAAAATCATCCAATCAGAAGAGCAAAAAGAAAAAAGAATCCAAAAATATGAAGAAAGTGTAAGGAGCTTCTGGGACAACTTCAAGTGTACCAACATTCGCATGGGGGTGCCAGAAGGAGAAGAGAGAGAGCAAGATATTGAAAACCTATTTAAAGAAATAATGACAGAAAATGTTCCCTACCTGGTGAAAGCACAGAGTCCCAAACAAGAGGGACCCAAAAGAGGCCAACACCAAGAAACATTACAATTAAAATGCCAAGGGCTAAAGACAAAGAGAGAATCTTAAAAGCAGCAAGAGAAAAGCAGTTAGCTACCTACAAGGGAGCACCCATACAACTGTCAGCTTTCTCAGCAGAAACTATATAGGCCAGAAGGGAGTGGCAAGAAGTATTCAAAGTGATGAATAGCAAGGACCTATAACCAAGATTACTCTACCCAGCAAAGCTATCATTTAGAATTGAAGGTCAGATAAAGAGCTTCACAGACAAGAAAAAGCTAAAGGAGTTCATCACCACCAAACCAGTATTACATGAAATGCTGATGGGTATTCTTTAAGAAGAGGAAGAAGGAGAAGAAAAAGAAAAAGATAAAAAATATGAACAATAAAAAGGCAATATTGACATTTATCTATCAATAATTGAATCTAAAAATCTAAATAAACAAATAAGAAATCTAATGAACAGAATAAACTGGTAAATAAAATAGAATTAGAGGCATGAAAATAGAACTGACTGATGAATCTCAAAGGGAAGAGGGTTGGGAGGTCAGGAAGAGAGTAAACAAAGATCTTATATATGCATATATGCATTACCTACAGACACAGACAATAAGCCCCCACAACCACATCAAAATTACCACTAAAATACAGAAGACCATCATCCAGAACTGCCTGAAAGCTGGCTGAATGGAAGTCTTACAACTAGAGAAAGAAGAAAGCACATGGAGGCTGAGAGGAGGAGTGGATGCTTGGAACGAGCTGGTCTGGCGCCCACGTGTGCCACTTTTTTAATCAGGAGGGAGAGCATGTATGCAGAGCTCCTCCTCTCCCCCCATGAGGAGCAAGGGGCCCCAGACCCCAGCCCGGGGTCCCAGAGCTGAGAAGAGAAGCCCCCATAACTTCAGGCTGTAAAAACCAATGGGGATTGAGGCTCAGAGACCCAGGTGTTTTTCTTAAAGGGATGGCAAACTTACAAGGTATCTCTTCCTCTGAGCTCCAGCACCAGGGCAAAGCTCTGGGGGACCCAGACACATAAGAGGTGACATTAGGGCAGGGACTTGGGGGTGGCTTTCTCCCAGACAAGGGTGCTCGCAGGGGTCATTGTTCTTGTTCTGGGACCTCCTGTGTCACAGAACTGACTGGCAGTCATATATGAGTCTCCATCAGCCTGGAGCACACAGTTTGCTCCACCCTGGGAATTCCCTGAGACCCTGACCCATCCAATTTGCAGCCCCATCCAAGCTGTTTGTAGTGGCTTTTGCATATTAATGGTCTGTCCTTGCTCACACTTCAGACTTTGCTACAAT